TTGTATGTAGGTGAGGTGGATATGAGGAAGGGAGGTTCGGGCTCAGGTTGTTCAGTGATATGGGCAACAAATTCTTCCATCCAGACAGGCTTGCTTCTCACCCTGGTGCTCTTCCTCGTTTCAGACTCTTGGGGGATGATGTTTGGTAAGGGAATTTCTTCTCTTCTTTGTAACTGGTTTTCAGGTGTGGTTGTTGTGTCGATGCTTGGTATTAATAGTGGTGTGTCATGATAATCTGGTTTAAGGTGTTGTGTTTGGTATTGGTGAATATGTTCACTGAATATGACATCCCTTGACAAAATCATTTTTTCTGTTTATTATATCATATAATTTGTAGGCCTTAGCATCGGATGTATACCCTAAAAAAATACATTTTAAAGCCTTGGGTTCAAACTTGTCCTTTTGGAGGGTTAATATTTGTAGTAAAACATAGGCAACCGAAGACTTTTAAGTTTGAGTAATCTTGTTGTGTTTTGTATAAAATTTCATAAGGAATTTTCCACTTTAAAATAGAGCTTGACAAAACGTTTATTATGTGTGTGGCTATGAGTATGGCTTCTTCCCAAAACATTTTTGGTAATTTTAATTCAAACATCAATGCCCTAACAATTTACAGTAGGTGTTTATGTTTCCTTTCCACCACACTATTCTACTGCGGTGTGTATGTATAGGTTTTTTTATGTATGATTCCCTTCTCTTGAAAAACATTTTTGTATGAGGTGTTTATGAATTCAGTGTCATTGTCTGTTCTAACTGTTTTGATTGTTTTCTAAAATTGGTTTTGTATTAGATTGTAAAAACATTTTAAGGTATTTGGTACACTCATTTTCTCTTTTAATAAATAAGTCCAAGTAGCTTTTGAAAAATCATCAACTATGGTTAAAAAATAGAGTGCATCAGAAATACAATTGACCAGGTATGGTCCCTAAAGGTCAACACGTATCAAACTAAAAATGTCATTGGTATTGATGAAAGTTTTAGGGAAAGACAAACGTTGTTGTTTTGCCAATAGGTATATTTTACAATCATGTAAAGTTGCACTGCCTGATAACTTTAGACTGGGGATGTGAATCAATTTTTTATGGATGTGTGGCCGAATCTTTTGTGCCATAGTTGTAGATTGTTTTCTTCGGTGTGGCTAATGCATGCTTTGTTAGAGTCCATGTCTTCACTCAGGGTGTACAAGCCCTTCATTATTGTTCCCTTCCTCAATATTGTGTTAGTTGTCAAATCCTGCATAAAACAATGGTTGGAATGAAAGGAAATGTAGATATTTGAAGCTTGGGTTAGCTTTCTGACAGAAATAAGGTTACAAATGAATTTTGGTATATAGAGGACATCCAGCAAAATTACATTATCACATAGTTTCATGGTTCTTTTGTGGGTTGATGACTCGTGGTTCCGTTTGATAGCGAGACAGGCACTGTAGGTTCTAGTTTTATGGGTTTTGAAAGTATTTTTAAATCATGGCGTATGTGTGATGTGGCACTTGTGCCTATTATCCAAGTTCCTATATCATTAGAGACATGTAAAAAATAGCATTTAGGTTGCTTACCAGTGCGACCAGGGTAGCCCATGCATCCTGTCGACTCTGTCATGTCTTCTTTTTGGTTTTTCATGTACTTGTTGATCTCTTGTTGTATGAGTATGGCCATTTTTGTGCCCCAATTTGTGTTGGATGCTTCTGTTTTGGTGCCATCGGCGGCATTGTTTGCCACTGCATTGACTTTTTCTTTGTTCCTTTTCCCTTTAAGTTATGCAAACCATTCTAGGTAGCCATGGACTTGAAGCATGTGTCCTTCGTGTGCCCTGTGTTTCTACAATAAGTTCATGTCTTGTTGTCTTTTTTCTTTTTTTGGTTTGTAAATTTTGAATTGTCTTTTAGGTTGGTGTAAAATGTAGCGGGTATCCCTTCAAGTGAGTTGATATTGTATAATTCTCTTTGTTTTTCAACAGTAATAACCATGGAATAAGCTCTGTTCACAGCAGATAAGGCTTCCATGATCAATATTTGGTTTCTGACATTGTCGTATGAGTCATTAAGACCTATTAGAAATTGGATCAAGTTGTCGGTATTGTCTATTTCACTGTGTTGTGTTGTAGCATGGCAAGTGCAAGTAAGTGAGGGCCTTACATGAGTTAACTCATCCCATAACCTTTTGAGTTTTGTATAATAGGCTGTGATAGAAAGGTTAGACTGTATGATAGAACTTATTTCACATTTTAATTGATACAACAAAGGCACGTTACTTTCACCATACTTTCTTTTATTTCATCCCACAGATTTTTTGCTGATGTGGTGAACAGGAAGGAGCTAGCAAGCTCCTTGTTCATTGAGCTTAGGATTCAGGACACCACCATGCTATCTGTTTTGTGCCATTTTTCATATTCTACTGTATCAGGTTCGTACTTTTTGCATTTGCCATCAACGACAGTGAGCTTGTCCTTGGCTCTCAATGCAGTCACCATGGCTCGGCTCCACGACAAATAGTTGGAGCCATCAAGGGTAGTTGTGACAAGTTGTATTCCAGGCTGATCCGAGTTTAAGAGTATTAACTCATCTGTATTAGGGTTTGTCATTGAATAATAGAGTAATAGTATAGTGTAGAAATCAAAGAAATCAGTGCTTATCACAGGTATTGCTCTGGTACCATATAAAAAAATCCCAACCGGATAAAAATGAAACTTTTAATGCTCTTTTGATTTTCTACCTTGTTTATTGTGTGAAGGCATTGAGAATATATATACATGCAGGAGAGTGAAAGAAAAAGGGAGAATGTGGTCTCTGAAATCTATTAAGACCGCCAGCTGTCCCCAACAATCTAACCAATTTTAAAACAGAAAAAATATTGACATTTCATTTTCGGTTTTTGATCTGGGCGGTCCACCTGTCCATCTCCTTTAAGCTTACCTTTTTTTTTACTCTTAATTCTTTTCAGATACCTACATATCAAACAAATGTGTTGTTTGGTTGTTCGAAATTTTTTCTACTAATAACCGAATGTTTTAACAAAAGAACTATCAGTTGCTAATATTGAGAAACAGTTTAACTTTTGAACAAAATCATTAATTCTATTAAGAGATTGATTATTTTTATCTTTCAAGCATATTATGATTTGATTAACAAATGCATTTTTCGATTTTTGTCTCTACTTATAACCAGTAAATATTTATTGATCTTTATAATACATTTCAATCGTGTGACCATGAATTTTATAGTGAATGCAAAAAATTTATTTCTTAGAATTATCAATTTTTATTATAAAAGTTATTTTCATTTTGTCTTAGTCAGTTTTAAATTTATAATTTATTGATATTTTTTAAAAAATATTTTATTTATTATCAAAATATGATCCAATAAAAATAGTTATCCTAAATTTTAAAAATATAATCATTAAATCCCATAAGAAGAACAAAATGTATTCCATCTTAAAGTAACTATTCAATTTATTAATAACGTTTCATTTATATTTTTTGGATGGACAACTAGGCCGAAACTAAGATATAATATATTGTATTTTAAAATAATTATTTAATTTATTAACATAACTTGGACGTACATTTTTTGAATTAATAAATTGACTTAAACTTACTTGGTTCTTTTCATTGTATCTTCAATTTTGTTAAGTAAAGCACTAATCAAGTCTTGATTTTTTGTACACAATTAATCAAGTCTAATTTCGATTGAAAAATTTAAGGATTATTGTGCTATTAAAAATGGTCTCGAAAATCGATCCATATTTTACGAGTAGATTCAGAAAAAATAATGCTTGTTGATTTTTTTTTTTTTTTTTTTTTTAAGAAATAGAGTTTGTGATTAAAAAATAACCATATTATTATTATTATTATCAATCTTTAATAACTGAGAAGATTGAAGTTCAAATCATTTGGTTTATTAATGAATCCACCAATAAACTTATAATTTGTTCTAAGGATTAAAGAGCCTCTAGTATTCTATATTTTTATTTAAAAATTAAAGAATTAAATAAATATAAGAAATAAAAAAACTAAGAGCCTCTAGTATTCTATATTTTTATTTAAAAATTATATTATAACTTATATATGTGCTGCTGCTTAATGAATGATATAATTAAGAATGTATGTATTATTAATGAAAAATATATGTACTTTAATATATATATATATATATATATATATATATATATTATATACACTAACCAACGACACATCTTGTGCTTAAGAATTTTATGTTGTACTCATGATTTTGATATTTTTGGATTAAAAAATTATATAACAAATAAATTTCCTCAATTATGAAAGTATTTATTAACCAGATCTACTGTTCTTTTTTTTTTTTTTGGGCTAAAAAATTATTATATACAAACTAAATTAAGAATTAACACTTCATCCCCGTCCTTAACTGCCCTCCCCCGCCACGCTGCTGTAGAGGTTGGAACTCTGCGTTGCAGAAACCCAATTTACTATGACGGACGCAAAGAGGCAAGGCTACGCGTGGGCAATCTCAGCCGGGCTTAATGCAGCTCTTGCTGCCATTGCTGCAAAGTTTTTCTTATCTACGGTAACCTTGTCTTAACTTCAACATTTCCATCTATTATTTTTCCATTTCAGTTTCTTACCAGAAACTCTCTCTCAAATAGACTTGTCGAATGAATTCTAAGAATCACTCCGTTATTTTCAAGCTCTTGTTGTTCAAGAAAACGATGTAATTCACGAAATTTCTCACAATTGTTTTGAGTTTTATGAATCGCATCATGAATTAGCTATAGTAGAGCGAGGGCTGCATATAAATAGCCCGTGCAAGAATTAATTAGGATTGAGAGAGGTTTAATTTAGTAGTAGATACGGCTAAGTCGGGATCCTCCGAACTCAATTGTAAACACAGAGTATTAATTTGTGAATATATGATTTATGTGTTCGATTTCACTTTCACCCTGATTTATACATATGCGTGTACTAATACTTTTCCACTTCTCACTCTTTACAGTTCATCAAATTCGGTCTAGTTATATCATTTAATGTGGTTATGTGGGGATGTTACATTAACAGCCTTAGAGCTCTCTCATCTCTGCAAGCTACAGTGACGAACTTTGCTGCTAACTTCCTCTCTTCAGGTTTAGCCGGCTTCTTCTTGTTCGAGGAAACATTATCATTTAAGGTAACTTAGTGATACTCGATAAATCAGTTACATGCTTTACTCTTTTCAAAGAAACGATATTATGCACTTTCAATGACTTTGTCTTTGTTGTGATTGTAAATACTGATTCACTTGCCTCTTTAGCAAACTAACCGCATCACTGAATCATGGACTGATTTGTGAAGGATAATATTAATATTATCAGCCGTTAATGTTGCTGCTTTCCTGATATAAGTCCTTTCTGTCTTCTTCCTAAGTTTTTTTTTCATAAATCTTTAATGTCCTCTGTGCCTGGCTTGTTTAGGACTTGTGTTAGCTTCTCAACTCAGCTTCTGATTAATTTAGGTGCGAAGCCAGCCAAACACCAAAATTTTGATACTCAGCTTAAAATTAAGTTAAATGAATTTCTGTGTTTTACATACGCATCAAACTTAAGGCAAGGTTTAGTTAGATCACACAATCATATAGAACAAGTCTGTTAAAGATAATTCACCAAATATTGTAAAAGAAAAAATTCACGGAATGTTGTGTTGAATGATTGACTCCTCTCTTAAGAGAGATTGTAGGAGTAGTTATAGCCTGTAATTTAGCTCCAAAAATGGCTAGAAAACTAAATAGGAATTTAACTCATAAACAACTCCTCATTCTAGTGGAAAGGAAAATGGTGATGCTACAATGCTTCTAACTTATAATGGTAGATTCCAAAATATTACAATAGATAGTAGATTCAATAGAACATTTGTTATATTCTGATCCACTCAAATTAGTATAAACGCTGCAGCAAGTGCAATGCTACAGCCCTACTAAGCAATTTCAAAGTAACTGCAGACAGGCTCATATGTTTTGTTTGTTCTAATATGATCTGTTTTCATTGTTAGCTTTATTTTAAAATTTAAATGCTCAGAGATAAATTATAGTTTTACTCCTTGTAGTTGGAGCCTTAATTTCCAAACAAAGCATCTGGTTTGTTTTTTGTCAGTTCACTATCTAGAGTGTGAGCTTTTAGGAACACCTTTAAATGACACCCTAGTAACTTCACATTTGTTATGTGTAACATACTTTCATGATAATCGATTTCATGATCAAGTAGCAAGCGTTGCTTAGCCATGACTATTATTATTCTGAAAATTAGCATGGGCAAGTCTTCCACACCATATATCAAAAGACTCTAGAATATAGGCAGAAATAATCATCAACAATTAAAGTTGAATGTTCTAAATTCGACATAGTCCTTCCTAATAATACCAATTTAGGTAAGATTTATTAAGAATAATAAGTTCACTTGATGATCGATGGTTAATTTAGAGAGCAGTCTGAGAGATTAGATACTAAGAATAATATGTGCAATGGATCTCTTGGCATCGTACCTTGTTGCGGTTTGATTGCATTCCATTTTCATGATTGGACTACCATGTGATTTTAAACAGGGCTGAAAACTAAATAGGAACTTTAACTCGAAAATAATTCCTGATGCTGGTGGAAAATGAAACACTAATATTACTAAAATTATAATTGTTAACTCTAAATATTACAATTAACAACTAGATTTAAAATAAATAATTCCTAATCCATTTAGAGAACCTAGGTCTGAGTCATTTCTCAAGCTGTGCAGATGAGTGCAGACGTCAGTCACTCACAAGTAAGATCTGCGAATAGTTTTCTTATTGCAAAGGATGGTTGCATAGACAATGGTTTCATGGGTTGCTTGCAAATGATGGTAAACACTTCTATAGTCGCAAAGATCCTGGACGTCACAAGACTAGCCTGTGGCATAGGTTATGTTACAGCAGAAAATAACATTTTTAGATATAAACTGTAATAGGTACATGTTCAGCCTAACAAAATCACTACTAGTTAGTACCCATGATATGAAAAATGTAGATTTTGGAGTATGATTTTCTTTAAAAGATGCGACAAGAAAGAGGGACTTAATAGTTATGCATTCAAGTTTCTCTTTTCTTTAAATGGTTAAGTTTTCTCAAGAACTTGGAGCCTTAAGCATTCAGGTAATAAACACAATACATGAAAATAGCTTTAAATGGCAAGTAATTTTGTTCTAAAATCATGTTATAGAGCTGATCGATGGCTGTAAGAAAACATATGTCAAAGTATGGGAACTATGGGTTTGTGTATCAAGTCAGCAGCAAATGAAACGATAATATATATTGTACTTCACAGTGGTTTGCAGGTGCTTTGCTTATTGTAGTGGGTGTTCTTGTACTCAGTAAATCAAGCGTAGAGGAGAAAGCTAGTATCAATTAGAAGGTGAGAAGCATGTCTGCTGCTGCTCTTCAGGTAGTTTTCCATGTCATTTCTGGTGATGCCTTGTGACGAAAGAAAGCCCAAATTATTTGTCAATTCTATTGCAGGAAAAATCATCAGCAATGCACGTGGGATTTCTTTCTCTTTAAGTCTGAGCTAAACTATAATCTTGTCCTATATCTGGAACTGAAATATAATTGCCCTTAGTTTAGCTCCAAACCAGCACCATTTGTTTTGTGCTAGTTTCGCCCTTGGAGAGCATTAAGAATATGGTACATTACTTTATTTCTCGAGTGACTGAATACCTTATTAAGGATATGTTAGTAACTTCTTTAACCTTGACCTTCTGTCTGAATTCTGCATTTTATAAGCAATAACAATGAAGTTCGTTTAATTACAACACAGAAAATACAGAAACCGTATTGAACTGTCCCAAAATAAGTACAGAAATTAAATCAGAGAATGAAAAATATAATTTATTCAGAAAATTTAGATGACTAAGACAAGATATGGCAATAATTGAACTTTACGCGGTTAAATATTTGGCCAAATTTGGATTGAATCAGCCAATTTTACCATGACCTGAAGCTCTATTTGGCAGTCTTGTAGATGAATATTAAATAAGTCAAAACCAAAAACAAAATCAGTAAAAATTAATTGATTCAATCAAAACTAACAGGTTCAGGTGTTTTTTTTTAAAAAAAAATTATAATAATACAATTTAAATATTAACAAAATATTTATATTTTTTAAATATTGACAGGTATCAATAATATATTTGAAAATTTATTTATTTTTTTAAAATTTTATTATCCTATTTATATAGATATATTTTTAATCAACAATTCAAACAATAAACCTGTAATGCTGAGGAACCTGTAACAACCAATAGATTAAAAAAATTAATTCCTGTCTCCTAACTCCTAAGTTGCAGAAGCTATGGTCGTACAGCTATTAAGGATAACGTTATAAGATCAATATTTGAATTTGCATTTCGATATATGCTCAGATAATTTCAAACGTGTATTCTTATTCTATTTTTGCATAACTCTATATTTCATACTCAAAGTAAGAATTGAGAAAACTCTCATTTCAAAAATTCTTCGTGATATCAGAGCACCGATCTTACATTTTTTTTGTCATCATGGCCTACAACTTTGAGTCACTTTGAATTCAAATCTATTAAAAGTTAATTAGCATGTGTGACCTATTAGAAGTTAATTGTCTAGTTAACAGTAGATTAATTGAAAACATAATTAAGAAACTTCAATTGTTAACTATCTATATACCACATTTGAAAATAAATTATTATACAAAAATTATTTAATTTTATTTTTCGTGAAATTGTTAGTTACAAATGTGATTTCATTATCTGAGTTTGACTTAGAATTTATAGATGAAGACCAAGCAATTAGAGTTGTTTAGGTTTTCTCCACTTCTCTTTGAAATCAGAACATGTTTATAGAATCGTTTGACATTTATTGTTTTATTTTTTACTTTTATATCATGGCTATATGAGCAGCTACATGTAATTATACATGTTTTATATAACTACTGTGTGATTTACATCATGAACTTATCGAATTTACTTGTATGTGTTCTATGTAATTTATGTTAAATCATTGTGGGTTATATATGAAGAAAACCAAGGTCTAGGAAGTACCTTCAAATTGGGAACTTAATTTGTCTAGAAGGGATGTGGTGATAAGTTTGATGTACTGTCGGTGATATCCAATAACTCAAATCAAAATTTTGAATGTAAACTAATTTCTTTATGTGAGATTGGGAGACATTATCGAATAATTATTGTATACTGATTGTAACGTTAATAGATAATTAAAAACCATTATCGACGTTGGTGGATACTGCAGAAAAACCTAGACCTTGGATAAATGAGAAAATCAATTTATAATGACCACATTTCAGAGTAATTATTTTCTCAAAAGTAAGTAATTTATCTTTTACCTTAAAAAATAAAATAACAGATTTTTAGCTCAAAATGAAAGTTTTAAGACTAATAATATAATAGAAGTGGAAGAGTGATCCTCGAATATTTTTTATTTCATCCGACTCTCTCAAATCACCATTAGAAGAAATGGTTCTTGTTTACAAACTTGAAACTCTAGGTGCATAATCTTTATCTCAAGAAGTGTTCTGACTACTTAAATACAACTACCCTATTACTACCTATGGTACAAATTCATCTTTTTCTCCCAACAAGTTTAATGATACATATCAGAATCCAGATACTTCTTGACCAACTTCGATTCTAAACTTCATTATCTCAATAGAATATACACATTATCTGATGAAAAATATGACTACTATAGGTTTTCACTGGGCGGTAATTGGATTTACATACCTCCAAAATTCAACAACCCTTTGGAAAAAGCAGTGCACTTTCAACTCTTCCTTCTCTTCCTCTTCAAGAAAGGCATGGCACTAAAAGCTCCTACAGAAGCTGTTCCACTGTCATTTTTGACATTTTCTTGCAAGGCTACACCAACATTAGGATACTTCTCTTCAGCGCACGTGGTTTGATGCTCCTGATTTACTTCTCTGTCAATTTTTTTCCTGTTAGCTTCTAGTTCATCCAGACTTCTCTTGAACCTAGAATCTGATTCGCCAGAACAAACATTCTCGTAGTTTTCTCCTGTCAAACCAAAACCAGTAGATGATTCGACATGTTCCCCAACACCAGCAGATTTTCAGAATCATTCTTTCTTTAACTGTTTCAGTTTCATCAGTGCAAAACCCACCTCCCATTGT